CCCCACCATGCAAAAGTCTGCTTGACTGATGGGGAAACCTGCTTTAAAAAGCAGTGGAGACCTCTGAACAAGAGCGAGAGGGTCTCCGTGCCCCCAGGCCTCTGGGACCAGCATCTGCATGTCACCCTAAGCTTGGTTAGCCTGACCTCTGATCAGGCCTTTGGTGCTTAGTGAGGAACAGTTTCATGAAACCAGGCCCTGAAGCTCAGCTGGGCTTCAGCCATCTGAGAAATGAAGCTCGAGGCACCTTCGAGCTGTGCTCAGCAATGGGCCCAGCCAGGTCATCTTCCCGGCTGCAATCCTGGATTGGTGTACCATTGTCCTGGGACTTCTTCTTCACCCCCCCCCGCCCCCGGTCTAGCCCACAGCCCTCCCATCCAAGCACTAACCAGAACGGACCGTCGTTGGCCCACAGAAGGACACCCCGTTTTCCCCTTTGGGGCTTTGAAAGAACCAGAAATCTCCCCGAGAAAGGAACCTGGAAAGCCCTGTGGGCGCATCAGGAGTGGTCCTTAGGGGTGGGGCCGTGGCACTCTTGCAAACCCCAGTGGGGTTGCGTAAGAAGCGTTTTTCTTTCGGCGAGATGGAAGGAAGGCCGTGAGAAAGACGGTGGTGCATTTTCAGCATCCGTTTTATCGCACGGACCAGGGGCATCTGCAGTCAAGGTGGTGTCTGTGACTGAAGCCCCCTCCCTTTTACACACACCTAAAAAGGGGAGGGGCTTTGATGGTGTGGTCACAACCACCGTCTCGACTTTTTGTCCCCTCCTGCAGACACCCCTGGCGCCAATGTAATTACCTTTCAAACATTCACAAACCGCACTGAGATTTCTGCCCCACACCAGACCCCGAACTGTTGTGCTTCAGTGTGACACAGTTTTCTTTCCCCGGCATTAGGTTTGCCTTACCTCTGGCCATCCTGCCGAGACCCAGAGATGCTCCAATAGCTCTGAAACAAGGAGGGGCTGGTTGGTTGAGGTGAAAAAGGAGAAAGAGAAAGAGAAGAAGAGAAAGAACCTTTCTCTCCCCCACATCCCCCCAGCGAAGAAGCATCTCCTTTTAACTGCATGCACTGAGTTGGAAAATGCATGCACTGAGTTCCCACTAAATCAGTGTTGTCCAAACTTGGCCACTTTAAGATGAGTGGACTTCAACTCCCAGAATTTCCCCCCCCCCCCCCCCCCCCCC